TTTCATTTGTATGACAGTGATAACTGTCCAGCAGGATCAAGCCTGAGACCATCAATTCATTTCCCAAAAGCCATCCATTACTTAATCACAGCACGTTTAACACTGGGATTCAGCTGAGTCACATACATTAACCATGTTATGCTCTCCTAATTGGAGACTTTAGTAGATAGTGTTTACATTAAATGTACATGAAATTCTGTTAATGAGTTTCTGATTCTTCCTCATGTTTGGTACTTATACAAACACTTTAAACGTGGGCAAATATTGCACAATGATATCTGTATGTCTGTAAATTCTCCTTCAATACATTGTTCATGTTCTTTTCATGTAAATTTGAAAGCACACTCTATGGCAGTTTGTAAGCAGAAAAAAATTAAGATAGGACTACTTCTATTCTCTGAACATAGATTTGTGAACAGAAAGTTATATCAGCGTACTCACATTTATAGTGAAAGTCATTTGTGGGATTAATGAATCTTTGAACCAAGGAAAAGATATCACACAGGTGATTTGGATTATTACACATTACAAATTAACAGAAAGGCTGATAGTCATAGTAATTAACTCAAAAGCAACTCACAGATCGAGCATACACTGTGGCAAAGCCCACTTCCAGATGATTCATAAATTGAAGAGAGCAAACTGATTAATCATTGTTCTGTGAAAAAAGTTTGCCATTGTACTTCTTTTCAGCTGCATCATTCCCTTGCATCTCTATTCCCCTTTCTTCACAGCAAGGACCTCTGTTATCTCCAGTGCGTGGACCTGCAAGGAGGTACTGTTGGCTGTAGCTTAAATGCAGCTCATCTATGATAAGTGAGAAACAGTAAAGCTAAAAAGAAGCCTAAAGCTTGTGGTTATACTAACTTTGATGAGAACAGAGTATGGATGAAAGGTGATTGTGTGAAGGTCAGCAATTTCTGCAAAAGGAAAAGACAAAAACCATGAAAGACAGCACACCAGTACTGAGAAATCAGTTGTACAGAGTGATCAAAGGGAATGAGAGGAAACTGAGCATGAGACATATTTGTGACTCATTGCAATATAAACAATAGAATGTATTACAAATTAAAAAGTCATTACAGAAATTGACAACCATACAGTATGAGAAGCATAAAAGGTCTCAAAAAATCACATTTGTAAAGCAGTTTATGTAAAACAACTAAAAAGATGTAGAAGAAAAGAATACTACAGTAAAATATCTGTTTGTCTTTTCAAGAAAGTACAACAATCACATTAAAATCTTCTAAAGTGAAAAAGATGACATTGCTAAAAAGTGAATCCTTTAAAGATGTATTCATGTGAACAATCCCACTTTAACACATGGAAACACTTATGTGAGTAAAACTCTCAGCAAATGTTTTAGGAGAACTTTGTGTCTTCTAACTTCCCAGTTTTTCTTACATCTATTCATTTACCTCCATCAGCATTAGCAGCAGTACTAATATTGGTTGATGTGCTGTAGTATCATTTACTCACAATTTCCATGTACTTCTATGGATAGCAGAGGAGTTACTGAACTCAGGTAGTCCCTAAGTGAATGCCCAGATCTTCCAGGAAGACCTTCCAGGTTGTGGATGCCCCATCACTGGAGGTGTTCAAGGCCAGGCTGGATGGGGCCCTGGGCAGCCTGGTCGAGTACTAAATTTGGAGGATGGTGGCCCTGCCTGTGGTATGAGGGCTGGAGCTTCATGATCCTTGAGGCCCCTTCCAACCCGGGCCATTCTATGATTCCATATTGTGTGATTCCAAGCCATGGTAGCATAAGCTGCTTTTCAGGGACAACCACAAGGCCAGCTGTCTGCTCAGTTCCATCATTCTTCCCACAAAAATTGCATACCCAAACTGACTGCTAGCAGACAGTCAGACATCATATATTCACCATTCTTTCGCTACTGAAATAGAGGTTCAGTGTGATCCCTGTTGAGCAGACAGCCAGGTGAGCTTTCTGACTGCCTCTCACCATTCACACCATGAAGCAGAGTTATGCAAAGAAAATACTGCTGCCAACATCCGAAATACACCTGCAATTTGGGGCATCATCACATCCACTCTTACAGACAACACCACCCAAATCCTTTTCAACTTTTCCCAGCAGATTCTCTTAGTACTTTTGCCCCACTGTTTCCCCTGTTGAGGATTCTTACCCCACTAGTCTTGACAGAGAGTGGAAAAAATGTGATGAAGCAATCATACTTACAGTGGTTGGTAGAAATATATGGTGCTTTAATCTGTAGGGGTAAAAATCAATGATGTTTTTTCACTTAGCAGGGACATCTCACATGTGATATATGGAAATTTTTGGCTCAGTGTATGTGATCTGAACTAAACTCTTCATTTCTTTCTCCTCTTCTCCAGTGCGTTACATTTAATTTTTCCTTAACTGAGCAACATTGTGCAGTTGCAGTCATTACAACTGTTCTCAGTCTGGATTTACCTTTGGAGGTCAATACTAATTATTCTCCATACATTCCCCATTTCAGAACTGCAAGCAGCTTTTATGTCTTCTCTATGGTTTTTCAGTTAGTCCAGAAAAAGGTATTAACTCACCCGACAAGTCTTGCCATGGGGCTGTTCTGCCATTCATACAAAGAAAATTGTCTTTCTTCTCCGCAGAGTACAATGAATTTTTCATCTTCTCACCTAAGAATTATATCTTTTAAAGAAAAAAAGTAAATACAAAATTAGTGAGGAATCAGTAAGAGTAGGTCAGCTATAAATACTCGTAAATGGGAAACATCTAGTGAACATCTTTGGAATTACAACATTACAGCATTCTGATTTTAGGAAAGTTACAATTAAGCTCCACTTCAATACAACCAGCTCTATATTACAAACTCAACAAAAACGTATGGTGGAGCAGAAGTCCTGCTCAGTGCACCTTGTGCCTTTTACCCAGTTATTCAGATACAGCACTGTCACAGTTCTGGCCTGGTTCGACCTGGTTCCTTGACTAAATGGCACAGGGGGACCCTGTGATGGGTCTAAAAACAAAACAGCAGCAACGAGCTAAGGGAGAAAATTAATTCACTAAATATTAGAGCACAGTGTGAGAGAATGCAATAGAACACAATACGATTGGAATTGCAGCTAATACATTAAATAAACAAGAAATTGTCCAAAACCAAAGGCCTTACTCTAATGTTGAAGGTGAGACAGCTATGGAGCATACACTGCAGAGCCAAGCAGAAAAAGAAGTCTCATGACTCCCAGTTTTCTCTTTCCCTTTAAACAGAAAATGGAAATGGAACAGTGAAGTATTCTGGGAGATACAGTTCATTCTTTCTCTTCTGTGAAATGTACCTGGAACTATCAACAGTCCATGGAACTGAAGCCTTAACTCTTTAACTCCCCGTGCATTACCTGATGCTATGATGTGGAACACCAATAGCAGAAATCTTGAAACCACAACAAGTGTGCCAGGGGACAACATCAGGACCAACATTGTCTATCTTCATTAATGACCTTAATTAGGGTTAGTTGACCTTAATTGGTATTCACCCAAAAGCTAATATTAAAATCCACCCCATCTTCATTCTTATTTTCATCTTTATAGATCAAAAATATCTAAGATAATCTGTGATCCTGAGCAGATCCCAAGCAGCAGCCCAAATACAAAGTGAGGTAGAATAGAAAAAAAAGGATATGCAATAACTATTTCTCCTGCTATCATAGAATCACTGAGGTTGGAAAAGACCTGCAAGATCATCACCAATATTTCTCACTAAACCACGTCCCTCAACACAACATCTGAACGTTCCCTGAATGCCTCCTGGGTCGGTGACTCCACCACCTCCCTGGGCAGCCCATTCCAGTGCCTGCCCACTCTTTCAGAGAAGTACTATTTCCTGATGTCCAACCTGAAACTCCCCTGGTTCAACTCGAGGCCATTTCCTCCAGTCGTGTCACTAGTTACATGGGAGAAGAGGCCGAGACCAGCTGGCTACAACTTCCCTTCACGTAGGTAGAGAGAGCTATAACGTCTCTCCTGAGCTTCCTCTCCAGCAGATTGAACAATGCCAGCTCCCTCAGACAAGTTGGTAACAGCCTACACCACTCTGTTAAAGAG